ATATATATATAATATACATATATATATATATATAAACTCACCAATCAAGCGGGTTTTGTGACCACACATCCTCAGCCCGCTTCCTGTGCAGGCTCTCGGAGACGTGTTTCCAAGAAGCGGCTTGACTTTCTTGGGGGCTCGCAGATCGCTTCGATGATTTCGATGTTTGTGGGGCCTGAGGTACCAACTTCAACCTCGTGGGCATGCACACGGCAAAGCCGTCTGTTGGCCCGCTCCCTCTCAGCGTGGATGCTGTCCCGAATGCCTAATCAAGGACCTCCAAGTGCAGTAGCCAGACGTTACCATACTTGAAGCGCTTGCGAAGAGGTTCCTTGAGGAGGCTGTTTTAGCTGGCAGAGTGGGATGCACATGCAAAAATGGGGCAGCTCGCTGTGCACACATGGCACGCTGCAGTGGATCCAAGCTTTCAACACGAGGGGTGGCTTTTCACATGCAGCTACATGAAGCTTTGCACAACAGACTTAGCGCAGCGTAGGTCTTTCACTTGTTTTGAAAATGTGGCCGTCTGGATAGGTATCGTGGCCGTAGGCGCTGTGGATGCTTAGAGTTGTGGCCTCGGCGAGACTTCGTGTTGAATCTGCAGATTGAAGTAGAACCTGCACGGCACATGGGGTTCAAGACAGGTGAGCTGTGGCCTCACGCGTGCAAAGGGAAATATCTATGCCCGTTCATGGCATCCAGCCACTTTCAGTATTACGTCGGCAGTGGTCCGAATCCCACCGTGCTCTACTGGAATCTCACGAGCTCTTTCTTTGTGTCTCTAATGTAACCCTCGCTCTGCCACGGTTTCTTCCGCCACCACGAAGGTTCATCACCTCCAGGCGGAGCGGCGCTGGGGCTGCGTTGCCTCCTCCCCAGAGCCGACTGTATCTGCCGCACTTCAAGGTTTCTCGATGGCCGGAAACTTCTCCTGGAAGTAATCTACCTAACCCATCTAACCCAGTGCCCATACTAGATTGTGAAAAAGTTTGCCCAGTTTAACCCGTGGATTCTTGCCCAGGCTTCGGTTGGCCACCCGCTTCCTGCAGGCTTGGGACCTCTCCGACCGCGGACTGTAGCGCGCATCCTCAAAATCTTGTAAAGGAAGGGTCTTGGCATCTTGGCTTGGCAGGCTCACCAGATCACCCGACTCTACTCAGGCCAGAGGGACGGGGCAGCTTGAGTGAACGTGTCGCAAGACGTCGCAACTTCGCAGCATGCAATGGTTGGAGCTGTGGGGTGCAAGCCACGCGCTTGAGGTGTGGACCTCTCAAGGCCCAATGCCTTCGCCACTCGGCAAGTTTAATCGGCGATCTGCGGGATGTTTTTAAGATAAGCTCCAAGCGCGAACATGTGAGGGAACCGCTTGTGGCACGGGCCTCAGCAACACGAGCACAGAAAATGAACAGGTATATGTACATGTATATATATATATATGCACATTATTATTATCTATTGTTATCTATTTGACTGGTTGGATATTTCAGCGCCAAGATCGTACTGTCAGAATTGACGACACATGATGACGATCCTGCAATGAAGCGTCCACCGGCACTGACTACGCAAGAACGCGTGAGGAGAGTCCAGCTCTCGGAGGCCATGACCATGATCTGCAGCGTTTCAAAGAGCTCACAACGACAATGCCAAAGCAAATGCGACGAAGAAACCACAGCCAGCCCCACCAGATCAAGATCTCGTTGAGCTGTTTTCGAAGTTCATTGAGGAGCGTACCGAGTGGACCGGCCAACATCAAGGCAATCAAGACGGCAGCTGCAGGGTACGGTGTGAATGTCATCAACGATCCGATTGCTTGTATGAGACATACGATGCTTGCGAGCTCACAGGCGACAGATAGTATTCACACGCAAGGCAACTATAACACCGTGCAGGGATGCGCGGTGCAGCAGTGCGTGGGGCAGCAGTGCGCAGGGCAGCAGTGTGTGGTGCCGGAGTACGTAGTGCAGCAGTTGTGCAGTGCTTCTGTATCCTTTTGTGAGAGAGGGATTAGACCCGGCTCCGTTGATTCATGCCTGCTTTCAGTTTTCAGCTGTGGCACGTCATGATGGTATGGTGCGTGATGCTGCTTGTTGTTCTTGCCTGTCTCACTCTCCGCACCCTCACTCACGCTCGTGGCCTGAGCGCTCAATGCCTCCAGTTGATTCCAGCTGTTGTCAAAGTTGAGCATATACCATCCAGCCGTTTGCAACACGGGCGAGCCTTGCTTGCTGTCCGTTCGAGCTGTCGATGGGAATCCAAACTGGTCCTTTCATCCCTGGATGACATGCGCAGACATGACCGCAGCCACACCTAACCAGACGAGGAAGACAAGACTAAAGGCGGGATAGATCGAGCAAAAACGACGAACAAATGGCAGACCCGTGCCGAACCTCGTGCTACGGCGTGCCAGGAGGCTCATCTGCGCTGGGGATTTCGTGTTGTCGAGGAGCAGGCGGGAAGGGTTCTTTCCCGAGCACTTGTCCACCGACAACGAGTTCCTAGAGGTTCCGGAGCCGTGTGTTGAAGACCAGACACAGGAGTGGGCACATGCGGGCCTTGCATTCTATCGTCAAGGCGATGTGCCGGATGCCCGGTATAGTCGTGCGTTGAAGAGCCATCAAGACCAGTATGGCAAAAGCAGAAGGACGTGGCGCACCCTTGTGCCGAAGTTCGAGAGCGTGCTCATGTGTCGCCTAAGGAGGTATATGCTTCTGGATCTGTCCGCAGTTCCAGGCCGAACGGAAGATTGGTTGTCTTTGTGAGGGATTCTTGGTATGGCACGGATAGTGACTCAGAAAGTCACCTTCTCATTGCCTCACGGGTGAAGCGTTAAATGTGGAAGTAAGCTGAACATTTACCGGGTGTTGGATTGAACCTCAGGTTGAGGTTGCTATCAACCCCTGTAACCCAGGTTGGAATTCAACTAATCAGCTGCTGGAAAGCTCAAGCCTCAAGCACCTGATTGCGAAGCTTCGTGCCTGGCTTGTCGGGACCCTGCACATGTTGCAGGTCAAGAAGCAGTTGGAGTGTAGCTGCCGCCAGCTGTTGCGCCCTTACATCGTACGTTTCGTGCGCAGGGGGTGCTGCTTGTTTTGCTAGCAGCAGGGGTGGTGGACAAATAAAGGTGAACAGAAATAAAGCCCCAGGCTCCCCCACACTTACACGATTCCGAAGAGGTTCCATCTTGTCCTACGTAAAATGAGGCCATGGAAACCCAACAGGCTCTAGCCCAGGATTATGCTGATTATACTTGTCCTCGGCGCCGGAAATGAGATACGACATGACTCACGTCGTTTTGCTCAGTCCCTCCTTCGAGAGCAGACACGTGAAACACGGCAGTCAAAGGAGCACGGAAGTGTCATGCTGTCCCGATATCACAACTCTGCTCCGTGCGGCCTGGCTCAAGACTTTCACCAGGTAGGCCGGCCACCACCATACCCGGGGTGGGGCACATGATGAGTGTCACACGTCAAAAGGATTGCATCAATTGACCGGAGCTTCGGGAGCCACGGGCCTTAAGATCGGAACTGCCCGAGATCATGAGGATGGAATCCGGCATGCAGTGGCCGCCAGTCGGCCACGTAGTTACCCCACAACCGCCTCGATCGAGCCCCAAAGAGTTCAAGAAAGACGGGTTCCTCCGCAGAAATGCGAGCTTAGAGCCATGGCAGAGGCTTCTGTGGAGGCTCCCTGCACGAGCTTGGCTTGGCTTAGGCTTTTCGGAAACTTTGTTTGCAGGATGTGCTGATGGCCCCGGGCGGCAGCCTCACGGCGCTTCCGGCACGACATCTCGTAAAGCCACTTGGATCGGATGCTTCGTGTGTTTTGGCCGAAGCCTATCTCCTCCGAGGGCCGGCAAGAGTCAAAGCGTGAAGCTCCCATCACTGCATCGGTCAGCCTCGGACTCTGCGGTGCGCCTGGGACTGAAAGATCAGAGTATATAATCAGCGTAAATCCCTCTTTAGAGCACATGTGACACCATTGCTTCGATGTGAGCAGGGTCCGCTGACGGTGTCCTCATCCTGGCAAGTGACGGTTGCTACGGTAGTTACATGTTCCGCTCCCACCATCTGCCGCAGTCAACGAACAGCTTCGATCATGGGTTCTGCGTTGACGAGATCTTGGGGTCGGTGTGCACGAGAGATCAAATAGCGTGAACTTGTCAAGGACAGCCGTGAAGAAGCTTTCCCCTGCAGTTTACGGAAAGCGCTGGGCAAGCGATACTTGGTCTCTTGAGATCAGTCCACAAGGGATATCTGGGATGTAATGGGATGCACTTCGCACCTTCAACGGACGAGTCCGTCGAGGTGAGTGCAGGGAGAAGAGCCCAGCCAAGGAAAACAAGCGCTTCCTCCATAAGCGCCAGCAGCGACGATGCTCGGATGGCAGCAGCAAAATGGGAGAACTTTGAACCCATGCGTACCGATGATTAGTTCATTCACCTTAAACATGCCTTGCCTGTTTGTGTGGCCCTGTAAGGCTGGCTGGAGCAGACCCAGCGAACGCGCTTCGTTGACTTCACAGCCGAGGAACGCGCACCTGGGCCAAGTCAACAGGCAGAAGACAGGTGTGCGGTCAAGTGCAGTAATTCACCACCGAAGTTGCTGCGACCCCCTCAAGGCCTTAACCTCACCAAGGCAGACCTTGATACATGTCACCTGGACAGAATTCCAAGGCCGAGTTTCGGAACTACTTCGATCACCTGAAAGGACTCGCATTCTGGGGCTGGAGGGCATTCTGGGCTCATGCTGAGTTCGGAGGCTACAGTTATGGAGTTATTGTTCGCTTTGCCGTTTGCCGATTCTTCTGCGCAGGCCAACAGGACCCAAACCCACTACGCAACGCTGTATACCCGAACGCCACAAGGTTGCCATTCCGAGGGGCAGGATCCACACCCCATGATTGCCCTTGGGACAGAAGCAGAAAGACCTGTTGCAATTGAAATTGTGATGCTCCTGTGCAGCAGGTTTCGCAGAAGCAACAAGGAGAGAACCAAGAGAAGTGAATCTAAACAAACAGGTCATTAGCCCGTCAGGGTGTGTATCTTAATGTGCATTTGTGTTTCTATTCCACTTCTGACCTACGGTGCATTGCAGCCTAGATTGGGTGTTATCACCATCTCATTCGGCATTGCTCATTGACCCGACTGATGTCTGCATACTATGACTTGGGGATGGACGGACGAGTAGGTGGGATAGTTGAGGATTAGAGAGCTGGCAGGACCCAACGGTCTGCTTCTCGACTGCCCTTCTCGAAGTGGTGTGCGGGCATGTGCGGGCTGCGGGATCTCTTTGCGATAGGTACAGGTCCCGAGTTTTCTGGCAGGGCTGGTTGCACTCGGATAGCGTCTTGCGTTTCACGTCCCGTGCTCATGGTGGATGCGTAGCAAGCCGAGGATTCGTGGTGAGGTGATCGAGGACATGCTTATCGCCCTGGGAGTTGTCAACACGCAGGACAAGGGGACAAGACCGGAAGAGTCTGAGAGAGACTGAGCTGAGTCGGCTGATGTTGCAGCAATGCTGCATCATGATTGGATAACGGAGTTTAGGGCCTTTGCAAGCAATTAGGAGCCACTCTGACTCGGCCTGATTCGAGTCTTCCGCAGACGAGAGTCCTAGAGTATCTACTGTTGTGGCAGCTCCGTATCTATGCGTGGCAGGACGAAGTGTCCGGGTAGCTTGACTGCAGCAGATTTATGCTTAACTAAAGCCGGTGCCGGTCTTTCGCAGTGCAGCGGTCGCAGCAATGCTCCCAGGGGAGAGCAGGTGAAGCCTAATGCAGCTCAGGCTCATAGACAAGATCGATGCGCCTCTGGCAGCTTTAGTGGGTTCCTCCAAGTGTTGACCTCTAGTTGGCCGGATCCAAGAAGTTCATACATGCAGCAGCCGGGCTTGGAGACCGAGTGTCCATAGAAGGATCAGAAGACCCGCGAACTGGACTTCGAACAGTTTCTGGAGCTGATCACCGTCCGAAATGACTCCAAGACTATCCGAGTGAGCCTCGTCTGCTTTGGCTTCACCAACTCAAGCCTCTGGCAGCCTGCCACAATCCACTGATAGTCTGCAGGAGGGCCCTGCTTAGGTCGATGCTTTGAAGTATTGGAAAACGATAGGGAAAGGCTGTTTGTGGGACCATGCCCCTCCGCTTTGTACAGACACAGTTACCCGTTACCCATGCCCATTTCCAATGAAGCACACCGCAGCACACGTCTGCTGATAGTCCCATACCCCACGCGCAAACCGCCCTTCACCCTCGCGAGGAAGCATACTTAGGCTCCGCCTGGAGCGACTGATTCATCTAGCTTGCTTGCATCGTATGAAACCAAGAGTGCAGCCGCCGGTATTTTATCTAGTCTAACACGAGTCAAAAATGCAGCCGCGTGCCCAAAGCCCTGTAAAACGATGCGGGAAGCCCAAAAACGATATCCCTTGTCGAGGCCCGCTTCTAGGAACAATAATTTTGCCGCGGCCTCAAATGGATGATCAATGTGCCCTGATGCAGGTTCAGAGAGATGCTGGAGGCACTCTGGCTGGGCCATGGTGGGAATCCTCTTAGCCTTGAGGTCACATCCATGAGCCGGGTATCAAGAGCCCTCACGTTCAGCTTGTTGCCTGCAGGGCAAGCTCGGTGACCGGAACCTGAATTTCCAGACAGCCTCTTGGCCTGCAGCATGAGTCTGGCGGCATGACGCCCGTGAGCTCAAGTTTTCCTACTCTCGGCGAAGACGCATTGTGGTAAAACCAATGATTCACAGCGGCTTTTGGTTCTAGAATCTCTGGGAACATCGACCAGCATGCCCTTGAGGGCCTTGTGCCCAGCAACAGCTCCAGAAACAGCAAAGGCACGCTCGTCAATGAACTCGAATTCTACTTGTCCCAGAAACTGTAGGTTGGAAGAGTGGGAATCGTGCGAGCGAAGCGAGCCGCAGTGAGGTCTTGTCGCAGTATCGTCGGCAGCGACTCCTCGACGGTTCTGCAGCCAGCATTGATGCAAGTAGCACTGCCAAGCAGCATCGCGTCTTTGTGCTGCAGGTTCCGGCTGCATGGAGCGATGCTCTCCGGAGCAGAGGGAGCTCGGGTGCAAGGCGCAGCTTGGCGCGTGCTCGCGGGCGCAGTCTGCCTCTTAGACTCGGCCTTGTGGAGGTCTTGAAGAACTTCACTGCTGCTCGGACCGGTAGAGGCGGTAAGCGCTGCACATCTGGCTAACTGTATTCTCCAAACCATGACATTCTGTGGGTTCCTGCTTCCGAAGACCGGGTGCCCGGGTCGGACAGAGTGCCTCCATTGCTAATCTGCAGCAGTGAGGAGCGCCAGACCTGTGGCAGGAGCAAACAACCCAGCCCAAGGCAAACTCAAGCTCTAAACTTGCACGCGCCCAGGAGCTGACTCGCAATCGCAACCGCAGAAGGAGCCGCTTGTGATGCTGGAGGGCATTTGCGTCGTAGCTTAGTCCGATTGCACATTTCGTGTCAAGCACCGCCTCCCCGTGCCTTGGGACGGATGACTTCACGATGACGGCATATGGAGTTGTGATGAAGCGTCCGATTGAATCTAGTCCAGTCCCTTGCTTGTGAAGGCCTCTGCCCGTGCTTTGTAAGCACTCTATCTGAGACTCTCAGACAACAGCAGTTGCACTGTTTCTGTTATGTACGATAGATGTGTTTTCTTGCGGCTAGGAACCCCCGGGACGAAGTGCTGGACCTTCTCGACGAAGAGGAGAAGGAGGAGGCCTGCGGTTGCAGAACTGGTGTGCAAGACATTCTGTCTAGCATTTCTTTCTTCAAGTCATCATACAGTTCATCAGCCTTCATTCTTTCCGAAGTCGAGAGAAGGACCTGCCAGTAGGGATAGGACTTCAAGCCCTCTTCGCAAAGCGCGGCTACCCTGCCGCCCACTTCATCGTCCTTCTTGTCCTAGGCGCCCTTGGGAGGAATGAAAACGCTGTGGCGAGGCGCCGGAGGGGTGGGATGTAGGATGATGTAGGTGACAGGGCTGTAGTTCAGGCTTGAAATCACATGGAATCACCTCACCGGCTTCACCGGAGTCTCTGCAATCTTGCAACATGTTGTAACTGTCCCGCTGGCCTTTCCAGCTGCAGCAACCGTTGACTAGGTCTCTGCACAGAGCACAACTTGACGCCCTCGCGGCCCACATCGAGATCCCGGGTCGCTCGGCTCCCACATCCTCCTCTCACCTCTCCTTTGTTGTGAGGGCAGCCATGAACCGTGGACTGTGGGAGATGCAGGTATTGGAGCGGCCGAAGTCGCCCACAGAGATTATGGTGGCTCGGTACCAAAGATGTCTTAGACGGCCCGCAGCTGCTGAGTTTTGCTTCTGCGTGTTTGAGAGTTCTAGGTTTCCAGAGTTTTTTTTACCGCTTGGCGGATTGCCACTCACGAGAGTCGTACACATGGCATTTCGTCTGCATCCGCGACACTTGTCCAACCTTTCGAATGTGTGCCGTACATGCAAAAGCGTGACAGCGGCGGTGCCGATTTGCCACCGAAGCTCATGATGCATCCGCCCGGCCTGGACCTTCCACTGATTTATTTTTTGGGAAAAGTTCGCTTGGCCGAAAACGCATCGGGCAGCGACTTGCGGAGTCAGACCAAGCTCAAAGTTTCAGAGGCCTTTGCCCTCCTCTTAAGGCACAGTTTCATGAGGCCGATCAAGTGGGGGAGCCCAGCATCTCGCTGGGTTTTGGGCTCCTTGCAGCTTGGCACATCTTCGTTGTGTTGGCTCCCGTCAACTGAGGCCTCCAGGAAGCGCCACACCACAATCCAGACGGCCCCTTGGCTCCAGCCGATGGCGGAAGCTTCAAAGCAAACGATCTCGATCCCAAGCCAAGCGCTCTCAGCCCCGAAGCTGAACTTTGAAACGTCGAGACCTGTTGCGATTTCCTTGGTTGACATGACGTCAAGATTTGCCTTCCCCGCAGGTCGTCGTGATGGCGCCGGCGCTGCAAGACGGATCCGCGCGAGGTCCCGAACCCGCCTTTTGAGTCTTGGAGAGGGCATAGGCATAGGCATCATCACGGAGAACCAGCCCGCCTTGCCGTGCGTTCCTGATGCAGGTGCATAGGCCCTCGGGGCCTCGCTCAAGGCGGGCCACTGGGCCCACTGCACCAGACAGGACTTCTGGGTCATGCCATGCTTGCTAGCGGCTGCTAGCGGCCTAGCGCCGTCGCTGGTCTGCCTCGTGGTCCCTCCGGCCAGGAGCCGACTTGCATCGTGCACGCGGATTCGATTCGGCAGATGTTTGCGCTATGGACTCTAGACTTTGGATGCGCCATGCTTGCGATGTGCTTGATTTGCACAGCATCACAGCGATAATGACTCTGTTTGAATTTGTGTTCCGCATGGTTATGTGCTTTGTCTGTATATTGCCAATGAAGGGTCCGCGCCAGTCCCTGGCATGTTTAAGGCTTCTCACAGCCAGTCTAGAAAGGTGTCTGTGAGAGTTGATGGATGCTGGTCGGGCGTGGAGCAGTGGCAACTCGAGTAATTACTAGGCTAGCGAGACCGCGCAGACTCAGACTGGGCCTGCTTCCTCCAGAAGGCCAGATTCAAAGCGCACCAAGACGATGCTCTTAAGCCACACCCCTCCCAGCCCATTGCACAGGTTTCCCGGGGACCGTGGGCTCGAAGCCCCCGTCCCCATGTTAGCAATGGAAGGCACACCCCAAGGGTCCCGGCTACAGGAAAAAAGCAGGCATCCTGCGCGGGTGCGCGCACAGGAGGGGCAAGGCATGCAGAGCTGGAGAGTGAATGCATACGACTGTCGTTCCGCTGCATTCGATAAGGCTGGCGAGCTGGCTCCAGGGGTGAGTGAGCTGGCCCGCCGTGAGGGGCAGTGTCAAAGCCGCGAGATGTGATCACAAGCGGTCGATGACTGAGGTGCGCACAGGGGAATCGATTCAAATTGAGTGTTTCGCCATCATACCAGACTCCCTAAATTTCTCTGAAGCGTGCATTTCGTACCGCAGTCTGACAGCCCTCAGAGCTCTGACACATGAGCATGCTGAGCTCCCTCGTGATGTTGGTTCCTCGGTTGCAGACGAAAAGAGGCGTGGCTCCCAAGCGGATGCTTC